ATGATATAAAGATAGAGAAATTTGACCTTAACAAATTATTAAACTATAATATGGTCTAATCCTCAAGATTATACCAATTATCCTTAACTATAGAGGACTGCATTGGTCTTGCCCTATTTTAACAATGGATTCGAATGGAGGGATTTGGTGGTCGAAGTATACATGTTCACCCCTATAATACACTGTTTTTTATCGTAAAATATAAGGTATATATAGGCTTTAACAAAATAAAACATATATTTGTCTTTCATTTATTATAATTTAATAAAACTGTGGTGCTCAATCTATGGATGGATTATCTCGTGGTAAGATTAAGTACACGTCATACATTTAGTTTTGTTAAGCCTTATTTGAAAATAGCCAACATAGTAGATGAGCAAGTAATAAAATAGCATAAAAGCTAAAGAAGGCTAATCTTAAAAAAGCATTGAAAACGTTTTCCAAATCTTATTCAGAATCTATTAAACAGAACCTTCCATACTTATACACGTCACAAAATCCTTCAACATGTAGGGTAGAATTATGTCCCATATTTTTTAGCTATGCATCGCCAGGACGGAAAACACAGGCTTGACTTTAATCGCCTAAATTGTCTTAACTAAGTGACTCCATATAATGCCAAGATAGCCATAAATAATTTATTTCCACATTAAAAAGAAGGCTGAGCAAAATCTGATGGGTGTGCGTGTTTGTGTCATATAGTGTGTGAGGTCACCATTCCTGTCAGAAATAAGGTGGGAGTACTTTGAGATACGTCACGTTACGTTTTCGCAACTTAATTCGAACGAAAAAGAGACTTTGTGGGACACACTCAGCCCTGCAACCTTTGCTATAGTAGTCATGATAATTTTCAGCCACGGACTGTTGATTTATTAAATTCCCAAAATTACCCTCGTGTTTCCTGCCGAGTTAGGAAAATGAATTCAAATATTAACTTGGTCCCTATACCTACGATATAATCACATATATTTGACTCATAGTCAATTTTGCTGTCATCTACAAGAATAGACTCCATATGATACAAAGACAGAGAAAATTGTCCTTAACTATTTATTAAACTATAATATGGTCCAATCCTCAAGGTTCTATCAATCATCCTTAACTATAGAGGACTGCATTAGTCTCGCCCTATATTCACGGTGGATTTGAATAGAGGGATTTGGAGGTTAAAGTATATATGTTTACCCCTATAATACACTTTTTTATTGTAAAATATAGGTTATATATAGGCATTAAGGCAAGACACATGATAGAGAAGTATTAGGAAATAAAATATTCATTTATATTTCATTTATTATAATTTAATAAAACTGTGGTGTTCAAACTATGGATGGATTATCTTGTGATAAGATTAGGAACTCTTCTTAATTTCCTAATTAAGTAATTCCAAATAATGCTAAGATAGCCACATTCACAGTCTTAAGTATATGCTCATGGAAGCATACAAATAATTTATTTCCACATTAAAAAGAGGGCTGAGCAAAATCTGATGAGTGTGCGTGTTTGTGTCATAAAAGTGTGGCAGGCCACCATTCTTGTCAGAAATAAGGTGGGTGTGCTTTGAGATACGTTACGTTACGTTTTCGTAACATAATTCGAATGACAAGGAGACTTTGTGGGACAAAATTAGCCCTGCAACCTCTGCTATAGTAATCATGATAATTTTCAGCAACGGACCGTTGATTTAGTAAATTCCCAGAAATTTCGTCGGTACTGATAGTAAGAGACGCCATTATTAACATCTAATTATATTGACTTGTCAAGTTGGAAAGTTGGAAATAAACATTACTAAAAATGCACAGGATACAGTATTCGGTATTTTTCAAAAGCTAGGCCACAAAAAGAGGTCAAGCCAACTAAATACACATAAGGGGTACTGCGATTAAACCTAAGACCACAGTTTTCCAATCTTCCTAGTAAATTATTTATTTTCATTCCCAGGCGATGAGGTTTATAATTCTAAGTAATGATACTATTTCTCTCAACTCTACATTTATTTTTGAGAAAGCAAAATTTTATTTGTATAAAGTAGGTTACGAACATTCAGAAAATAACACTATAGATTATTATCAAAACGCTGATTCAAAGATATATAAATATCCATATAAACACATAATATGAAAGCCTAATAAAACTAAATTTTACTATAAAAGGCCATAAAAAAGGCCCGACAATCTTGGTCTTCATACCTACGAATATATTTTACTCAATTCTACAAATAAAATTCTTCATAAACTATGAACTCACCGAAATATATTCTGGTATTACGATTGTACCTCCTTTATCATTAAATATCACCCGTGGGAATTCTCCAGTCTTGACGCCGTAAATCTGCAACTCACTCATCTTAAGCGCGGGAAAGACGGGAATTGCATCGGGCCCGCCCCTGGAAACAAATATTTTGGTTACATTTTCATTCATTCCATTGCACCTCAAATTGATTCTCTGGCCTTTGGAAGTAAACATAATGTTTTTTGCACAGACATTCCACGGGAATCCCTCACTTTCAATGCAGCGATTTGGCTTAGTGGTTTGGACGTATACATCAAATGGAACGCCAAGCCCCAAGTCATCTAATTATAATAAACATGACACGAAAAAGAAGAATTAATTTGATTTTATATGCTCATATCTTACATAGTAAGCTGAGGCATAGTAAAGAATAATTGGTTTTATATGATCTATTAATTTTTCAGGTCAAACTATATAAGGATAAAATATGTTGTGATCGGTTGTACCATGGTATAATCTATTTTGAAAAGCGATATCTTTTCATAGTACAATGACACATCGAATTGAATAGCATAACATATTGAAATAAAGAAATCCTAACAATAATTAATATATATTATGGTGAAACAGCAAGAGTGGGCTAAAAGTATAAAGACTAGTTGAGTCGCCTCATTTTTGTAGGCGGCCCATCCCCTCTATCCTTGGGTCTATTAATTTTTATTTTCGTATTAGAGTTTAGAGACTACCAGTAAATCAGTAATATGTGATTTATTCATCCTATTTCGTCTAAGGCAATGAGGGGCTGGTACTATAATTTTTTTATTAATCTAATATTATTTGCAGCAAAACCTAGGGGATAATTATTCTCAAGAAATATTATTTTAAGCAAACATATACAGGCACTACACATACAGAGTTAGACACACCTACAAGCTTCGAAGTTGACCCTAACCCTAACCAAATCACTTTATGCTTAATCAAAGAGACCAGATATAGAGTATGTATACAGATTTTTAGGGATGTACCTGTGAGTTTTGTTGACTCGTTAGCTTGAATTTGGTTGTATGGATAATAACTTGTTCTGGTGATGTTCATCATATGACGGACGAATGCTTGCACAGTTTCACCTACAATCTGAGCCTGGTCGAAATATCGTAGTTCGTATTTGGTCGCGAAGATCAGGGTGGGAATGCGTTGTTACTTATGAGTAGCTAGAATGCTTAAGATTAATAATCTTAATCTTTTGTATTCATTTACTTCTCTGAGTTCGTCTTCGCAACTCGCATATGCATATAAATGCTAGGCATATTAAACACTTTTTTACGCCGAGTTATGGATAAATAAATGACTTCGGAGGTAGGATATCGAAAGTGATATTTTATTCAAAGTGAATACTTAAGTTAGTTACCTACGTTTTTATATTTAGCATTAAACTCCAGACTATATACCCTTTTGACGCTTAGCTCAAAGAAATATCTATAGGTGAGGACGAATTAATTTTCGTATTAGAGTAGAGTTTTGAGACTACCAGTAAATCAGTAATATGAGATGTATTCACCATGTTTCGTCTAATATGATGAAGAACTGGTAGAAGAACTTACCCACAATGATATGAGTTGAGTTGATGTTTCCATTGAATTTCACATAGCCTTGCTTTCCCAAAGGCTATGAGAAATTCGATGGAAACGTCAGCTCAACTCATATCATTGTGGGAAAATTCTACTACCAGTCCTTCATCACCTACGACGAAATTAACGGATTAATCCGATTTTATCTTATGGTGATTTAAGCCAAATGCTCAAATCATATATGGGTGCATCTTTTCCTCCATATTATTACATTCTTTCTATAAGAATAAAAGCAAAATCTATAAATAAAAACAAAAGATATGATAGATATTGAAGCTTACCAAGGTCATTATGCATTACCAAACTGATTAGTGAAACGCTGAAGTAGGCGGCCAGATTGACCATAAAGTAGGCCCAGGTGTCGGTCTCCGACTTACTATACGTGAAGTAGCGGAGATCGACCAAATTGCGAGGGAACTCCTTAGCAGTAACCTGACGTGCAAATGCTATATTTTCCACTGAATAAGACATATTTTGGAACAAAAAAAACAAATTGCGCAAAAGGCTATGAGGATAAATACGATGTTAAATTGATTAATTGATACAAATAATTTGTAAACCAACTCTCATTCATACTCGTAGTCTGGCAATTGGGTGATAAATATGATTGCCTTCGTGAGATCCTATTTTTGTCTTGTTCACTTCTACTTTATCTACTTAAATTTACAAGGCTCTAGGCAGAAATAGCAATTTTATTTATTTAAACACTCGCTCTATTTGCTCAGTCCATTATTAAATTAAATTAAATACCCTTTTACCTATAATTAGGACAATAAAGTAATATATTTAGGTATCAAAAAGAAGCGAGTAATACAGAAGCATATGTACGTGTTCATCTCCTTTTAAAGCTTTTATTAAGAAAAATTAAA